CCTAGATTGGCTACACTCCCCCTGGCTCACGAATTCCCCGATTCTCGTGACAGTATAGTAGCGGCAGCAGTCCCACTTACATACATTTCTGTTCAAAAAATGCGGCGTGCCCACCCTACTTGTATAGCACCGGAATTTACAAAACAGATCCTTCGATAGTCCATGACATAATACATTAGGTTTTCGAATTTAAAACAAGAGAGCAAAGGGGAGACGCAAAAGGAATGATTGTTCAAATCTGTGATCCTCGAGCGATTCTTGACCAATGCTGTGCACCAGAAATGTGATATGGAAAGTAAATGTCGAGCTCCACAACAAAACTGTCGCAACTTACAATCAAAGTCAAAGTCAAAATCATGCGAAAACAAATTACGAGACGGAAAACCTACCTTGGCATACTGGCGGCTCATCTGACCATTCTCCATTACTTTCGCATTTCCTCGTCGACGGACCCAATAGCAAAAAGCCGGGATGGCAGTGGTATACCACGGTGTGCGGGTATTCGAACACATCACCATCTCGAATCCCATTCTCCAGTTTTCCAGGATCCGGACAAGATCGCGCTAAAATTCAGCATTGCATTCTTTTCCAATATCACGTGCAGTACGTGTGGTAAATTGAGCAACCAAGCAAACCAGATAAAAGAGAAGCTTGACAAAATTCAACCAAGTTAGGCCATGCTAACCTTTGCATTTCAGATCCGGTCCAAACCATTGAGCCACATTCTTTCGGTTCAGCAAACACTTTGCTAGAGCAAGACCCTGAAAATTTGTTAAATTTATTGTAAACACTGGTTTTCTCCTCCTTATCATCTATTTACCTAAAATGTATAATATCAATCGCATACGTTACCCGTCAAGAGGCATGCCTCTACCTCCTACAAGTTTAGGACACCAGACCCTTAATCCCCTTTTGACTTTTACATTTTTGTTCTAACCAGGAAATGCTTTGAACTTCCCATGGAACTTTGGAAGGAGACCTAGATGTATCGATAGAGTCTTGAACGCTGATTACAAATATGGACACTAAAACTGCTACGTGAACTTCCTAAGAAAGTTATGAGCCTTCAAAGTTGGCAAAAACGTTACTGAGGCGAGCTTACCTGGTGGAATCACAGTCGCCGTGGCTCTGCGCCAAAAACGAGTCTCATATTCGTAATCAGGGCACCCATTTACCCTTATAGAACAAGTTCCAGGCAAAAAGCAACCGTGTTTCCACATAGGTTGCACCTCATCATTAGCGTTCTTTTGCAACTTTTAAGGCTCACAACTTTCTTACAAAGTTCACGTAGCAGTTTTAGTGTCCATATTTGTAATCAGCGTCCAAGACTCTATCGATGTACCTAGGTCTCCTTTCAAAGTTCCATGGGAAGTTCAAAACATTTCGTGGTAAGACGTTGAGCCTTAGCACAGTTTTCAAAAAGAAAGCCCTGTGGTGCATTATGTCGCTGTCAAATTCATTCACGTAGTTCACTCGAATACCATTGCAGAGGTGTGCCGCGTAGCATCTTTACTTCCGAGCAATAGTTACAACGTGCTTCATTCAACCTTTTATGATCTTGAACTGATCACAGCCCCGACGATACAACGTACTATAACTCATTGACTAAGGAAAGACTAACGATTGAAGTTGGGGGATCCATCGTTCTCTTATCCGCAACGAATCTTTAGGCCTTGGACGTGTTACCTCAATCTTTGAAACTTATGGTCCTCATAAGATGATCATCCTTAGCGAAATGAAATGCGTAGTCTTCTTAGTATCGTAAGGATGCCTGAATTGTCCTAGGTCTATTCAGCACAGAACGATCGTCACGAGCAGCCCAAGGCTTGGGTGCCCCACAAGCGGGATAATACGATGGAGCTGCTTTCCCCATTTTAACCCAGTTCCATTTCAATTACAATTACGTAATAGTTAACTATAATGCAGTATTATACTTATAACCATTACCACCATCATCTATAGCACGTTAGAGTTAAGTTCTATCACAAAAAAAAAGCTTCGTGCAATGTAAAGGCCTCCCATAGCCGACGTGAATTACAGTATGCACTTAAAGAAAAAAACAGTATAAAATGTAAGGATTGCAATAAATAGAGAATTCATGATACCTTTGCAGAGAACTTATGATATCCAGGTATACACGAGTACGACACCTCTGCCTCCAGATCGTATTCACCCGAGAATGACGAACCATCGTGAACAGCGTACGGTATTTTCAGGTGGGAGCGATCGATACTGGCAACTGTAGCAAAATAGCTCTCTTTTCGCAGCAACCCTTGCTGTGCTCTATTTTACACTGAGATCCGTTAGAAATTCGAAGTAGGTAGTGCGTGCTACTTTATTTGTTGGTTAGAAAGGTCTTCAAACAACTGGCTCCACTTTGTGCTGTGAAAGCTATGGCTCTGCTCACAAGCTCTAACTCGGAAAATGTCAACGAGTAAAAGAGCTTATTTTTAGGGTCTGTTCTTCAAATGATGCCATTTCTTGCATTTCCCTACGTCTAAGCAGACCTTAACGATATACAAGCTTCTAGTAAGCGGGCTAGATTTTACAACTGTCCGCTCCAACATGTAGGTAGCTCGAAAATTTTCCAACGATTATCCAACTTAGACTTATTAAAACTTTTCATACTCTGTAATCGACACGTCGGCTGTGCTCCACTCCACTCGCGATTGCCCTGACAGCGACGCTGAGACGAACCGATAAGTACGTAACCTTTATTGCAAGCGTATTCAGCATTTGACCCAAATCTGAAAATGTAAGAAAGTGTGGAAGAATTAAGAGGCTGACCTTAAGCCATTAATGTTGATCTGAAGGACAACAGAAAATCACCTAATTGAAGGGCATTTTCGGTGCAAATTCATCACTCTTCTTCCATTTCCTACTTCGGAGCAAGCGCAACTCCCAACAAAATCACCCTGCAGTATTCCTTATAGGTCTCACGAAGTATACATTTAATGAAGTATTCACGACGGAAAGTCGAAAGTGGTGAACCCGGTTGCTATGGAAAACAAATGGGATCCCGAAACGCCGGTTGAATTTTCTAGCTACTGAGCACAGTTTCTCTTCTAAAGCTTCATTGATGTCGAATCACTCTATAGCAGTACTTTTCAAGGAGCACGTAGTTACCACCAGATGGTCAACACAAGGAACCGCGTTGGATAAGCAATGCTTAACCTTACCTACCCATGGTAGGCGAATAGGCGGGAAGTATCATGTACGCGTCGATTGCGTTCACTGTGCCCCCTTTTAGCCAAGCCGCTTGGTCCCTTAATCTCGCCCTCGCCTGTGTTGCCTCTCTTGGAACGATGTCGGAGGTCAGAAGCAAAAGAAGCAACAGGAGTTCGTGGTGTCAGATTCCTCTGACCATATTATTTCACTGTGGAATGGATAACGGCTAAGAAATGTGCTAAGGAAATTCGATTGGGTGTCGTGCATTTGGTGGAATGCAAAGCATAAAGTGAAGCTGACATTTCGGGGATCCATTGGTAAGACAACTGCGAAAGAGGTATGGAGCTGAAGACTATCCTTACGAACATACGAAAAAAGGGCTGTCTTTGTCCGGCAACACAGGCAACTTAAGAATCTTTAATCACCTTAAGCACGAAAAGCTAAGATAAAAGGTAAAAAAAAAGCTCAAAGTGACAGCATCCAAGAATCACCTCAATTCACCAGCCGTTCGAATATACCCGTTGTCAATTTCAGCAAGTGGATGACATGTGGAAGCTGAAATTAATCGATATTTCCAACTTTCGGAAAATATACTGGTTAAAATGACAACACCTGGGTTCACACAGCTCAGGCCACATTCGCCATCACACATGCAACGTTTATGCTTTTTACAGTCATCGTCGGTGATGCACTCCTTACGGCAGTACTTTGGACGCGTGCCAATTGGTTCCGGACACGAAAAAGCCTTCACAAATTGATGTGTGTGAAGGAGAATCAGTAATAATACTAGAAGAAGGCATGGAGGGTGCATAGCGAATTTTGCCTCGACCACCTGACTCCGCCGTCACGGCACCATGTCAGTTGATGAATTAGCTACCGCTCGGACACGCACACAAGAACGATGGCTAACAACGCAATGAAAGCCGGCGGAGAGAAGGCGGAGACTAACGCATGAAATGAACCAGACGAGATTGCAGTCCAGAAGAAGGCTCACAAGCACTCAATGAAATCCCTAATCCAATTCAGGCTTCCTTTCAAGTATACATGCATTGCTTACGATCATATCACAACAGATGGGGGAATTGGGTTTGTTTTTCTGGAGAAACTGGCCAAGCTGGGTCTTTCAGGCCGAACACTTCACTTTGGAGAAAATCGGATTGAGAGTTCAGTGGTCGAAAAAAGGATGTGAATCGGAGGGACGCTGTCTCATAGTTTTGATAGCGTTTACACACCCAGGGCGTTTCACCTGAAAGGCTTTCAGTGGAGCAGGGATGAAGAAGAAACCATTTGAAACGGCCCGAAACCCGAGAAATAGACCTCTTCTTTGCCCGTCATTTCCGCATTGATGCGACTCTAATCGGTTCCGCCTTCAACGCTAACGCTCTCATGAAAACGACTAGAGTCACTCACGAGGGTTCACCTTATCGGCGGGCGTGCGGTGGCCCTGCTAGATCGCCTGGGGGTACTCTTCACTGCGAAATAGTGCCTTCATCTCCTCTTCTTCAACCTCCGCCCTTGTCGTGGAACACTCCTCCAAGGGCGCAACACAGAATAGGATGGGCGAAATATTGGGAATAGGCTGAAAGGGAGCAGGAGCCGTAGACGATGCAACACACAGTACTATCATTGTGGCAGATGATGCCGTCGAAGTGGCATTATTAGGCCCCAATGCAGGTCCATCGATCCATCGTGGTAAAATCGCAAGATTTACGTCGTTGCGCAGATCTTCAGATCCTCTCGCCTCGAAAAACTTCTTTTCTCCCAGGCGCCCATTACCTCATATTTTCGTCCACACTGCAGAGCTGAAACGTTTGTATCTTTTCTGTTTTATACGATTTTTTCTCAGGCGGCGGTACCTTCACACTCCTACTTCCATCATCATGGTTTTAATTTACCTCTCACAGATGTGGATTGATAAGCACCTTACGTATATCAGATAAGGTATGGGAAACCAGTAACGAAGAGTAAGGCCTAACAGTTAGAGGGGATTTCGTTATTGGATAGCCTGCTCAATAACCAGCGTCATAGATGCATGCGTATTGAAAAAGTGGGAGGAATTCAGAACTAATTATAGATATTAATGAGCTATACTCACATGTGCGCATTAATTGTGTGCCGATCAAATTTGTCATGTTGATGGATTCACAATTACTGCCGAGTTTCGCAAGCTTTGTACTCATCCAGGGCTAAAAGAGTGCACAGGGGGTGACGAAACTACCTTATGCACTTCAGCGTGATGGCTTCACTGCAGATCTTAGGTGAGTCTGGTGATCGAGGTGATCGAGAGGGATCGCTCGCGTGAAATTTTTAATGGGTGGGTCAGCGATGCTACTTACAAAGACTGCACCCTCATACTCCTCTAATCAGTTTCCAAATTCAAAGTAGCCAGTAAAATGGGAGCTGCACCAAATGCGATGTGGAATACATTGATTTTGTATACGACATACATTTATGAAGACTTCAAAAATGGCGTTTCTCCTATACATGTATACAGAGGGGGGGGGGGGCAAAAGGGGGCAAAAAAGAGTCACTTTGCCCATGGCGCATATCATCAAACTTTTCGTCGCAAAGGATGCCGCTGTTATTGGGAGTTATACGGCGAATATTCCTTAGATGTCCCCCCATAAGCAGAATCAGGCCCACCTTCGCTGCCTTCACCGTCTCCAGAATATGACGTCATCTGTCATCACCGTCGAGCTCAAGGAGGCCTACCATAATCGCTCCATTCTGAAGCTGCTACATAATTTCTTCAATCGGATAACTGGTGAATGGCTTCTTAGAGACACTAGCTGTGACTATGCAAGACCGCTTTTGACCAGCGTTTCAGGGACGTCGTAATGGTCTATGGTACCTCGACGACCTCGTTGAGCTCGTACCGCGAACCATGTTTCCGTGGGAAAATCTTCTGATGTCGTCGGTGTAGAAGGCTGTCATGTAATTTTTGATAGATTAGAATGTGCTCTTCAATACCATTAAAGTATTCTATGAACGTTTATCTTGATTTAGCTTTTGTACTAAGAGTGATAACCTACTATATTAACGATTGCCAAATTGCCTGTATTGCCGAACAAAGACATGTCCTTTTTCTGAATATAAGGGAGGTCTTCAGCTCGATTTCTCTCTCCTAGTTGCTTTATCAATCGTGATCCAGAAAATAAAACTTTACTTTATGGCTTTGCATTCCACGTGCCGACAGCTAATATCCAAATCTTCTTATCACCTTTCTTAGCTTCTGATTCGAAGGTGAAGTAATTATGCCAGAGAATCGAAATCTAACGACTTTTCTGATTGCTACTTTGGCGTCTGACTCGGACATTGTTTCGAGCTTAGAGGCACACAGGCAGAGGACGAGATAAGGGATCAAGAGTTTGGACTAAAGAGGCACAAGTGAAGAGTACATTGATACTTTCCTTTCGTCTACCATGAAGGTAGTAAGGTTAAAGGCAAGGTGGCAGCCGCTAGAGGAGTAATTCCGTGCCCGGAGGTTGTACGTGAGTAGCTGCACACATTGCAGCAACGTCCACACCTTGAAAAACGTCGTTAAGGCCCCGGGGCCGTCGGTTTCAATCCGGGGCCTCGTCAATCCGGGACCGCCCACCTCCGGAAGTGGTGCGTGGCTGGCATAACGTGTGAAATCAGCTAGGTTGATTGCCGTATCAACCGATAGAACGACTGACATCTCCAGAAAACTTGTTTGTACGTGCCTCTTTCCCCAAGCCAGCCTCCTTCACTGCTAGTGGGAAAGAGGGTTTTGTTAACGGCCTTGTCGACGGTTTTTCTCAGTTTTTTCTCCACTGTCGTTCCACTTCGCATCTCTATACTCAGTTTCAATCGCCATAATACCCCCTTATTGAGCCCGACTTTTGCCTTTAAACGACTCAATGTGATCTTAAATCCATGCCGACCGCATCGCGCATCCAGAATGGAGTTGGTTAACACCGATTTCTTTCATCTTTCCACTGGAAAGAAGAAGTACAAGACTCCGTTCAGTTTCGAGCAACTTATGCTTGCTTACATGAGCGAATACAACATCACAGCAGTCAACGATCGACAAAACCACCTGCCAAGTAATTTCAGAAAAGGACAGTTCTGCATATCGGCTCTTACGCCGTACTTTATGGTCCCTTGGTAGTATGTAGCGATGGTGAACTGCAGCAACTGCTAGTAGAACGCACTGTTTAGCAGAAAAAATGGGGACCAAAGCAATGATAATACAAAAGGTAAGCACAGGCAAACAACAAGCGGAGAGTGCATGTATCGAATATCTGTGCGGTAGCAAATTACTACATATTAGTCTCTATAGCGCTTCCACATACAGACTTTCACCTGTTTACGGTAAACAATTTATAGCAGCATTGGTTGTGTGAATTGGGCTTTTCTATTCTTGTTACTACTTTGATAATTCATAGTCGTCTTTTTTCTGACTAGCTTTCATAAAATGCAATCGAGCTGTTGTTGTGTGGTCGAACAATGAATTTCATGGATATTTCCACCTTCATTGACATTATCCGATATTCACATAAACACTCGATTCACTACTACGTTATCATTCCATTGCTCTGTTCACCACCAGATCTCGCTATAGCTCAATCCACGATTCATACCTTTGCGACCCATCTCACTATCCACAGAACCAATGAATCGAGGGAAACTTCCACTTCCACGTTCCCCTCGTGATAGTGTTCCCGGTGTCTCTTTTCTAGCATGCTTGATGAGCTAGTAAATTTGAGAGCGTTCTCTGAACTAGACCTACTTGGACTGTGTGGAGTATGCAGGTCGAAGGTTCAAAGCTTAAACGTTCTTAGTGACAAAATAATGAGTTCTTGAGATAGGGCAAATCACCCGGCTAGTATTTCGGTACTCGTGCTACTGCACCTATCCCACAACTCCTAAATTAGCGCTGAAATGAATTCACGTTTTTGTTTTCTTCATTACGAGCCAGATGTGAATGCGTGATTGGTTAGTTGGTGCAAGGACGGGCAGCAGTTGCCTCAAATCACTGGGAATGAATTTCTTTCGAGAAGCTGGAACTCGGTGCCCAACTCTGGAAAACTGTGATATTGGTATTATTGTGTACTTCAGGGCCA